CCTGGGTGCTTTGCAACATGAATGTTCAGTTAGCAACATCTGTATGTGCAGTTTAATTACCAGTGCACTGCACATAGAAGTGTTAGCTGGGATTTGGTAAATACTGTGTAAATCTCTTTAAATTACATATTCCATGTGCCAAAATTCCTAGCATTCATGGATTTATGAAAGGGTAGGTAAAGGGGAAATACTTCTTCTCTAAACAACCATTGCATGAGAGTTCTGAGGTTCATAGGAGACTTCAGCTGGGAAGGGAACTGACAGGCAGTTCACTTGTTCAACAGTAGAGTCTGGAGTTTGTGTTTTAAAGTGTGAGAGGAGATTTTTAAGAGTCGAAGTGACAGTATTTAGGATGTCTGTTTTCTTGGCTATCTGGATAGTTAAATCTCTTGTTGAGGCTTTCCTCTCTCTGTATCTGAATGACTCGCAGAGTATTTTGCCTCACTTTAGAGGATGCAGTGTTGCCTTATTCATATCTGTTTGAATACATACCATCATGGAGATTATATTCTCAGCCTCGTGTTTTGGATTCTGCTTCAATAGTTCATGTGTATTTCCTGGATCATGCCAGATATAAACACCTCTCAACTTCTTTCCACAGCATGCCTTGCTTGGACCCTCCCTTTTCCTCCAGTGGGCCCCTGGAGCCAGCTTCTGTTGTCCTTTCATTTCAGTATTTCACATGTATTTTCTTGCTTGTTCTCACTGTTCCATGAAACCTCCTTCATAGTTCTCCATGACCCTGTATCAGAAATACTCGTCTTGGAGGGTGTGCCATATCTCTCTGTATGACCAGTAATCTATTAGCCTGCTCAATTTTTCCTCTTTGCCTGAATTTGTCTGGTTTTATGCAGTTTTCTCAAGGGCTTTGGGAGAAGGGCTGCCACTGCTCTGCTCATACAGCACTTGGCAGAGTAGACTAAGATGCTAAGGTATTATTATAAGAATAAACTAAGACTTTGTAGTGGATTGACCCTGACCAGATACCAGGTACCCACTAGAGCCACTCTATCACTCTCCCTCTGCAACTGGACAGAGGAGAGAGAAAAAAAACAGCTAAGGATTTATGAGTAGAGATAAGAGCTCGGAGACGTCAGTGACTGATTACCTTCACAGGCAAAACAGACTCAAAGTGGGGACAGTACTTACTAACAGGATAAGAGCCAAAGAGTGAGAAATAAAACAGTCTTAAAAACACCTTCCCCCAACCCCTCTTTCCTTCCATTTCTCCCTTCTTCCCCCCCAGTGGTGCAGGGGGACAGGAATGGGGGTTGTGGTCAGTTGTTTCTGCCACTGCTCAGAGAGAGGAGTCCTTCCCCTGCTCCTGTGGGGTCCCTCCCACAGGAGGCAGTCCTTGATGGACCTCTCTAATGTGAGTCCACCCTTTGGGCAGTAGTTCTTCCCAAACTGCTGTCCCGTGGGTCACTCCTCCATGGGGTGCAGTCCTTCACCAATGAGCTGTACTGATGTGGGTCCCCCACAGGGGCCACAAGTCCTACCTGGGAAAAACCTTCTCCAGCGTAGGCCTTCCCTCTCCATGGGCCACAGGTCTCTTGCAGGACTCTGCTCCATCCTTGGGCTTCTCAAGGGGTCACAGTCTCCTTCGTGCATCCACCTGCTCCAGCATGGGCTCCTCCCTGGGCTGCAGGGAGATCTCTGCACCCCAATGGTTTTCCATGGGCTGCAGGGGCACAGCTGCTCCACCATGGGCTGCACCACGGGCTGCAGGGCCTCGGCTCCAGTGCCTGGAGCACCTCCTGCCCCTCCTTCTGCACTGGTATATACATTGTTATTCCCATGTTCTCGGTCTGCTCTTCCCTGGCTGAAATTTCTCCTGCCCAACACTCCTCTGTTCTTAAATATGTTATCACAGAGGTGTTACTGTTGCTACTAATTGGCTCGGCCTTGGCCAGCGGCAGAAAGTCCATCCTGGAGTGGGCTATCATTGGCTCCATGGGACAGGGGAAGCTTCTGGCAGCTTCTAATAGCAGCTGTAGCCCTGTAGCACCCCCTCTACCAAAACCAAGCCCCTCCACTACCAAAACTACAGAAACCCACTACAGAATTTTAAGAGTAAACTAAGATTTTCAGGTAATGTCGACCTGCTGTGCTCAGGAAGACTAGAAAGGATGGTTGGAAATGTCCTTCCAGCTCTCTTGGAGCAGAGGAGAGATTGCTGGTGACTTTGGAAGCTGGAATGTGTCAAAAGAAAGTAACTCGTCGCACAACACTGACTGTGACAGTGAGCGTGCAACAGGGCCTTGGAAGAAGTGGGGACAGAGGACTATCAAGGTGGGATTTGACCAGTCCTCTGTCCCTTTCTTTCACAGGGTTGTCCATCTGGAATGAGAGCTGTCACTGTGCATCATAAGAGGCAGTGTCAAAAAAGTGTTAGATGCAGTTCTTCAGAGTTATCTCAGTGTTAAACGCAGTGTGTTGCTGTCACTGGAAACCATCTGTAGCCTTACAGACTGGCTGGACTGGTTTTAAAGCTTAGAATAACTCTGAGCTGTTTATGCAGATCTAAGTGGTGATGGCAGGGATGTCAAGTTAATCAGCAAAATCAGCTTCCAGAGGAGTCAAATGACCAGCTGCAGGCCAGCATATCTTGCTGTCTTAAGAGCTGCTGAATATTTGTGATGAACCTGGGTATTAGAGGTGATAAACATCATAAAGTACAGCCTTAGAGGACATGCCATGTTTTGCTGGTCACCCATGCCTAGATTTCTCTTCTACTTACACGATGATACAAATTTGAGAAAGTTCAGGGCTAATTACTGGCTTCACTGATAGCTCTACACTGATAACTCCACACCCTTCCTTCCCAAAGGGAGTCTAAAGTATATACTACAGATAATGGTGCTGTCTCGGGTGTAGCTCAACCCAGAGGTGCAAGAGGAGGCTCTGCACGTCATGATGTGGGGGAAGTTTTGACAGAAGTTATCCAAACAGGCATTTGAAAGTTGCATTGACCAAGGAATTCTGGATTTCCAGGCAGATACCACTTTAAAGGTATTACCTGAATGATGCACTCACAGCAAGCAGGGAGGGAGTTGTGATCTCATGTTTGTGAGTAGAGGCGCTCAGGGATGGTTGATGTAGAGCAATGAATGTCCTTCCTCCTGAGTTAATATTTAGACAATGATACCCTTTTTTTTTTAAAAAAAAAATACTTCTATTTTTGCATTTCTGCATTTTCCGGGAAGCTTTGGGAGTAAGCTCTCCAGATACTTAAATACAGTGTTTAGCCCTTGCTTTACAGTTACTTCTGGCAGAGCTGGGCTTGCTGTTCATGAGGCTTCTGATTACAGGTTACGTGTTTTTCGTTTTTAATTCCTTGGTGTGTCTTTACTCAAATTACCTCCTTCCTTGCCAGTGGTGGAGGTTAGGTCCCACCACAAAGCAATTACTAGCACTGGAGATGGACATTCTTCTCCCCCCTTCCAGTCACCCAGCATCTGCCCAGTGCCTGTGTGCTGTGTGTGTGTGGTCCTAATGGCAAGGACACACAGCAGCACAGAGGCTGTAAGCCCACTCTTATTTTTGTTACCTGCTTGCAGCTCAGCTCTGTTGACATCTCACCAGCTTGCTATACACTCAGATGTGAAGGGCCTTTTGTCAGCCTTGCAGAGCGCTGGTGGCACAGCCACAGCACCATGGCTGCCTCCCAGGGTGCTGATGCAGCATGCAGTTAATTCACAGCTCTGTTTCTCTTTACTGGCCCTACAGTGTACCTGCTTGCTCTCTGTTCTGATTTCATATATTCAGTAAATGATCTGTATGAAGGCAGTAGAAAGCGTTGAAAGAAAGATCGGCACTCTTGCTTTCTTTTATGTATATTTGCCTTCAGATTCCAGTTGGCTTGATTTAATGGACATGCCTCTCACAACTCCTGATGAGCTGTGGCAGAGGACTGTGCCCACGTGCTTTTGAGATGCAGTGCAGTTGGTGTAGGATATTCTGCAACAGAAAGGAATTTACATGACTAAACTCTAGCAGTTGGAATTGGAAGTTTTTTAAGGCAGAATTGCAACTGCCAAAAATGCATTTGATTATTTTACAGTTTCAAGAGGGGTTGTTAATAGCCTTGTGGAATTGTTTTAAAGACTGAGTCTTTTTGAGTTCTTGATCCTCTGTCATATGTCATACTTGGGAAAGTAAGTCCCTTCTCAGCAAGTCAAGCAGTGGCTGCTTCATGAATGGAAATGAGGAGCTAAACTTACCATCCCAACCTTCTTTAAGTTCTTGGCAGGGCAAGGCCAACTTTTCAGCTTTGTCCAGAAAAAAGTTTCATGACTTTCTTCTGATTAGAGAACCTGCAGTAAGTGGAGTTAGGGGACAGTTCTGCCACTGTGTGATGCCTGTTTCATTGCTGCCAGTTAAAATATGCATCCTGTGCTGTGACTTCCCAGAGGCTTTGGGGAGGAAATTAACATGATCACCATGTCACTGGTGCTCCTGTGAAGTCACCAAAGCCTGTATCCTCTTTTACACTTGTTAAATGAATCCTTGGGGGAAAAATGAAGTTGAGAATGTGAAAATACTTTGTTCTTAAAATATAATATCACCATTTAAGCTATTTGATGATTGCAAACAGAAGAAGAAGTCTGGCTAAAGGCTATCTCTAGAAGGAGGAACAAAACTGAGTCAGCAGGCATTAGTGTGTTGAGGACATGGCTCCCTGGCTGCTTTACCCAATGGCTTGTTTAGTCTTGTTCTGCTGTGCATTAGCAGCTTTCAGCAGCCTACAGTGATTAGTGCTCTGAGTCTTTCCTCGCTGCTCCTCTGTGTATCCTGGGGCTAGGATTAGGTTACAGCCCTGAAGTGGCACAGTTGTCTGCTTTGACTGAGAGCTGAATAGCAAGGGCAGAGTTTTGTTGATAGACTAAAATGTCTCCTGTGTTTGTTTCGCTTCTCTGGAGGAGGAATGACATTATTTTCATTTGTAGTCTTTCTGTCTCTGACCTAAACATGTGGTGTCCAATTTCCTTCCCTGGCAGGTGACCTGGAAAATGAGGAATGGTGTCTGGCTACAGAGTTTACTCCAGCATCAATAAAGACTGAGCCAGGGTTGTGTGAGACATCAGGCCTCGCTCCCTCCGTCAGTCTCACCGTCACAGCCACATCGCTGGAGGGAGAACGACCTGAACTACAGACAGATGCCCTGGTACTTACAGACTTCCTGTTCTCCTCTCTGCACAGTTAGCTATAGGTTCTCCTAAGACTGCATGGCAGTGTATCCTCCTTGGTGCCAAAGCTTGGCAATTCAGAGTGCACACTGCAGTCTGCTTTAATGGCTTTTAGTGTTTGCTGGTGTCCCACTACTGCTGTAAGAGCTGGTGTTTCAAAACACATTGTGTGCATATTCAGGTCTTAACAGCTGGATGCACAGCTTTGTCTTCTGTGCTAGCCCCAAAGCCTGGGGCTCTTGGATTTCTGAAAATACTTAAACAGTTTTTGATGAACCTTTTACACCTGAACTCACTAATCCATTTGCTCTATTCAAGCCTGTGACAAGCTAAGTGTCTTTAATAATAACTTGCTCTCGTGCTGCCGAGCCTTTCCCTAATCAGAACAAGGCTCCTTGTTTGGATTGACTGGAGAGTTTTCCTGTTTGTCTGCAAAGTTACTTTTGCCAGATCTGTGAAGCTTTGACATTTCAAGCTGCTGCTACTTCCACACCAGCCTGCCTCATGGGGAGCTTTGTAATGCCTTTCTGACCACAGCTGGAGCAGCCAGTGGGCATTCTTAAAGAGCTCAGTTTGGCTGTGTTTGGGTTAAGGAGAATGAACTGTAGCAGCTGATGGCTCACCAGGATCCCCAGTCAGTGGAGGAAGGAACATGACTGTTCTCAGTCCCAGGGGTGCAGAGTCAGTCCAGGCCGGATGGAGCTGGTAAATGCTGAAAATAAATGTTTCCACTTGGGCATGGATCAGAAATATGTGCAACAGAAATTATTTTATGAGAAACTGAAAAAAATTAAGCACAAGTTTCCTGTAATCCTCTTCTAGTCAGAATGTGCTGTTCCCAGTACGCAGTCCCGCTGTAGGTTGGGATGCCATGACTTGCAGAGGGAGTTCTGGGACTAGCTGGTGGGTCATTGCTATTGCATGGATTAGTTATACATGTTACTGAGAGAGATTTCAGCTGCAGTTAGCATGCTAATGTGCCAGAATGACTTCCTCAGGCCTGGGAGTGTAGCACACAGACAGACCCTGGGCAGCAGCTTGGCAACCTGGTGCCCCACCCCTGTCAGTGGGGCAAACCAGGTGTCTCCCCAACTTCAGTCAGCCATGACTGTTGTTTTCCTGCTTCTCCACACTGTGAAATGAACTTGGGTCTGACAACCTGATGCTCAGTGACTGGCACCATGCTCTTGCTCCCAGATGACAGTGGCCTTCAACAGGCTTTCCCCCACTCCCAGGGGTGTTCCTGTCCCTGCTCAGGCAGACTCTGCAGTCCGGCAGATCCTAGCAGCAGCTCTGTTGCTAAGAGAAGTAATTTGAGTGGGTTGCCTGCTAGCTTTCAGTCTGAAATGTCATCTCTGAGGCGTAATCTTTTTATTTAGCTAAATATAGTAGTAAGAAAAGCCATAGTGGGAGTAGTCAGGGCACTATTCTCTGTAGCCTGGTTTAGCAAACTGTGTAAAGAAGTTAAAGCTTTGCCTGTAGCAGAGCAGGAGGAAAGGAAACCTCTCCATTTATGGAAAAGTAATCCTTGTGTCCTTCTATTAAGATTTTTAAGATGTGTACTTGGGGTTTTCATGCTGTTAATTTCTCTTTTCTAGATGAAACCACTGACCCAGAAAGTTCTTCCAGAGATTAAATTGGAGCCCCATGAAGTGGATCAGTTCCTGAACCTCTCTTCTAAGGAAGGTCTGTTAAACACCAAACCAAAATGCAGGGCGAGTTGACCAGAATGCACAATAAATGTACTTTACCCTGATTAAATATTTGGATTCCTCATTCACCATGTTAGTCTTCAGGCTGAAGCTGGTGTTTTTTAGGGATTCAGCTCAGGCTGCTGAAGAGCCAGACTCTCTCTGACCCATTCTTTTTTTTTTCCCCCTTGTTCATCACAAAGAAGATGATGCCTTTTTGTCTGCAGGATATTAATAATTGTAGTGAAGGTAGCTTGAATTCTTAAAGTACAGGATTATTTAGGATAGAAAAGAAATCAATTTGAGGAGACAACTAAAGCATAGGAAACATGAAGAGTGTAAGTGGAAACTACTGTTAACCTCTGATAAAAAAACAAAGATGTGAGTTTGTATGAAAATAAAAGGTGAATCTGTTTGTAGCATATTAGTTTTAAGAACAACCAGGATCTCTTTGCACTGAGCTATAAATGAGGAAGGAGGAGCAATGATCCTTGCTCTGAAAGTTAAACACAGTGTTCCAGCACATAATCTGTTAAAGCCAAGAAAACTTTGAAAGAGCCAAATATTTGGCCTGAAATTTGAGCAGATAACTGCATTTCAGTTAATAACACTTGATATTCTGTTAGTGGATTCATTTCTGTAGGTAAATAGTACTGCTCTAGGGAGAGAAGCAAGTGATGTAGCAGGTAGAGGCTATATCTCAACCCAGGGTGTTAGATTTGATTGCTCAGTTTGGGAGATTAAGAGCCTTGCTGTTTTTCAGGTATGTTTCTTCTTCTGATAACTGCAAGAGTTAAGATGTGAGACAAAAAGAGTATTACAGCTTTTTTTGTTACTATTTTTCTTCCACCCTCCCTCACCACCCATTTGATCTTTTCAACTCAAATTTGAAAAGCATAACAGAAGTGGAAGGTGGCAAATTAGCCCTGTATCTTCCTACTTCAAAATTCAATTGCTGTAAATTTAGGTAAGAGAAAAAAGTGACTTAGTTATTGCTGTTTTGGACAGCTGCTAAATTGTCCACACAAGAAGAGTAGGTGAGACGTGTCTGCAGTAGGTTCAGACTCCTTTGTTCATAAGCAGCACTTTGCTTGCCAACTCTAGCACAGGTCCTTTTGTGTAGAAGGGCAGTAGAAGTTAGGACAGAGTGAGAGAGGTTCCTGTGGTGGCTGCCTGTGCTGCTCCTGCTCCATTAGTGCATTGAAGCCTTCACTGTCACGAGGTTGTCAGTCACTTCTCCCCAGTTGGGCCAAATCAAGTCCTTAGGAAGACTTTCTCTCTTCCCTGATCGCATAACACCTTGGATGTGATCCCTTCCCATGAAAAATACTGGCAATTTGTTTAATCCACAGCAGAGTTAGAAAACACTATTGTTTTTGGAGAGAGAGAGTGCTGGCTCAGAGCCCCTCTGTTAATGTGGTTTTTCAGGAACAGGGAACTTGTACTTTAAGTTATACTTAAACCTCAAATCATTTGAGGAAGAAGCTGTAAGTGTAGGTAGAAATGACTGCAGCATATGCACGGAGCCCTGTTTTGTCTGTCGAACCTAAAGATAGCTGCTGCATTTCATTCCTCCTTTGGAGACCTGCACGCTCTGAACGTCTTCCAAGTTGCCACTTTTGCTTGACCCATTTTTTAGCAGACATTCCTAGTCTTGGAAATCTGGTGGTGGCGGTGGTGGTGGTGGGGGCTCTAGTGGCAATGTAAATTAGCGCCTCAAAACCTTGTGTTACGTTATGTCTCTCTTGCCCTTTAGCAGTGGATCCCCTGCATTTGCCTCCAACCCCCCCCAGCAGCCATGGCAGTGACTCTGAAGGAGGGCAGAGCCCAGCCAGATCACTCCCTCCTTCAAGCCCAATCCAGCTACAAGCCACGGCTAAAGTTGCATCACGCACAGCTTCAGTACTGTCCAATTCCCCTCTCCTGACAGCACCACATGTAAGTTGGGCTGGCTTTCTCCAGCATCTATGTCTGTGTGTCTCTCTGTTTTTCTTTTTTTTTTTTTTAATTACTGGTTTTGACATGGATTTGCTAACTTTATGCTGTTCTTTAGATGAATTAATCTCTGGTCAAAACTGCAGATCCAGTAATTCTTGCTCACTGGTCTGCTCTGTTCCCACAGAGAACAGAATGTGCCTCTCCTTTAGGCTGACACAGAGTTCAGTAGTGTTATTAGGTTTATCCCACCATGGATTGTGTTTTGCCTTAGGGTCCAGCCCTGCTGGGTTAACCTGTCTCTGGTAGATCTGCATCTGTCTTCTTGTCAAAAGCAAGGGGTGATCTTCAGGGAGGGATTTTCAGTAGTGCTTCTCATTTGTCTCTTTCCCTGTTTGAGCCAAGGAGAGTTTTACTGTTGGCCTCTGTGTGTACAGAGCTGGGCCAAGAAAAACTGTTTTAAAGGGTAATCCTGTCCCAGAGATTTAGTCCCTGAGTGGAAGTTCTCTAGAGGGACTGCCACACATTCACAATGGCAAGAGGCTGTTCTTCAAGTAGGCACAGTCTTCTCTGAAGTGGGAGAGCTGCTGCTTCTCTTCCCTAACAACCTTTTTCCTAGGACTCTGTGCACTTACTGTTACATATTATTTCATTTTTATGACATTTGAAGAAACTACAGGGGACTGGCCCCCTCATCCTGACAGAGGAGGAGAAGAGGACACTGATAGCAGAGGGCTACCCAATCCCTACCAAACTGCCCCTGACAAAAGCAGAGGAAAAAGTGCTAAAGAAAATCCGCAGGAAAATAAAAAACAAGGTAAATGTTAGTGAGCTTTGCTGGGTAATTCCTACTTGTCCTTCATTTTAAAAAATTCTGCAGTAATGGTGTGTGGTACTGTTGAATGCTGTAAGTTGTCTTTTAATAAAGTGCTTTTCTTTGTTCCTAAACACATCCATCAAATTGCCTGTCACTCTGACAGTGTGCCTCAGTCTAGGTATTTACCTGAACCCATTAACAATGGAGTATTTAGCAGGCAGGGTATCAAGTTGCTGTGGCTTGGCTCCATTTAAAAAACAGTACAATCCTGCCCTTATGGTAGGCAAAGACCTCTATTCTTTTCATGGCAATGAAGGTTTTCTTTTCTGTTTCCTGTTTTAAAATATGACTTTGTATTTCAGTGCACTAGTCTTTTGATCACTGAATTCAGTGACCTATAAAGGAATGGTTGATATCAAGGCTGTCAAATGCCCTACAAGTTTTTTTTTGTTTGTTTTGTTTTGTGTTTGGTTTGGTTTGGGTTTTGTTTGTTTGTTTGTTTCTGCATGGATTAGAGCCTAGTGATAGGGAAGAATACAATATTTTTTAAGACCTGGCCAGCTCACTTGTTCTAAAGGATTTTACCACATCTTAGAAGGTTACTATATTCTGTCACTGATTTTGCAGATAGAGGTGTAAATCTGCCCACACTGAACTGGAATTTGGTCTTGTAATGTATTTTTTCAAAATTTTTGCAAGTTATCTTGTGCATTTTATGTACCACTTTCAAAGAATCAGAGCCATTTATGTTGGAGGGGATCTCTGGAAGTCCTCTGTTTCAACTCCTGGCTTGAAAGTGGGGTCAGCTTAGAGTAAGTTGCTCAGGGACTTGTCCAGTCACATTTTATTGCCTCAAAGGGTGATGAGTCCCCAGCATCTCTGGGCAATGTGTTCCCGTATTAGGCCACTCTTGTGGTAGAAACAAATAAATAAAATTCCTAATGTGTAATTGGAATTTCCTTTGCTGCAACTTGTATTTGATGCCTCTTGCCATTTTGCTGTACACCTCTGAGAAGAGTCTGATATCATCTTTGCTACATGAGATAGTTGCTGAAGGCAGCAACAGGATTCCCTCCTTAGACTTCTCTTCCTCAGTCTGAACAGACCCGCCTTTCTTTGCCTTTCCTGAAATGTCACATGCTCTGGCAGGCTTATTATAGCTGTGGTCTGCCTCTGGGCTTGCTTCTGTGCATCCAAAGTATTTGTTTCTGAGCTGCAAACTGTACTCAACTGTGGCCTTGCAGGCACTGAACAGAGGGGAAGAACCAGTTCTCTCGACCTGGTACCTAAATCTCATTAATGGAGGCCCAGATTTGTTTGGCTGCTGTTGCTGCAGGGGCTGGCACATTGCTGGCTTATGTTTGACTTGTTCATCAGGACCCCAAGTCTTTGTCTGCAGAGCTACTTTCTAACACATTCACGGGCTTTTCCTCTCTCAAATGGAGGGCACTGACCTGGGATCATCTTTTAGTATTTGTCTTAGGATATTCTCTCCAGATGAGAATGAATCTGATTTACTTTTTAAAGTTAGTGGGGAATGATCTTTTTTCTATGACTGAGAGGAGCAGCCTTGCTTCAGAATGTGGAAACAGATCCAGTCAGTGCTTTGCTTGCCAGGAATAGAAATGAGAACACGGAGGCTTGAATCTAATAACGTCGAGGCTTTTTACCAGTTTATTAATTCATTTTTTATGCTTTTTTCCCCCCGTGCAAATATTTGTTGTTTTTCTTCCTTTTTCCTTAGATCTCTGCCCAGGAAAGTAGAAGAAAAAAGAAAGAATACATGGACAGTCTGGAAAAAAAGTAAGCCAGCCTCCTTCCTGTTTCAAGCGGGCCAATAGCACTAGTTGCAGGACTGGGAAGGGATCCAGCTGCAGATGCTGGGATGGTTCTGTGCACAGAGTGCCAGCTGCCATCTCGTGGCTGTGACTGAGAAAAGGCCCTGGTCCTGGCCGCTGCTTGTCCAGGGTCACAACTGTGCCTGCCTGCAGCACATGCAGAACAGTGCCAGCAAACGCTTTACACCTTAAATAAGGCAAGACCCAGCTGCTATTGGCCTTCACCTCATGTAACTGTGTGGATAGGCATTGTTTAGGGAAAGGTGGATTCAGAGTAAGAATATTCTGCCTCCTGGTGCAGATGAAAACAGAAATAGGAAGTGGGTGAGTCAGGACTGCCTGGGAAAACAAGCATGTGACCCATCAACTTCCCTTAGTGAGCAGTAGCCAAACCCCCAGTTAGTGGTTTATATCCCAAATTATTCTTTCTTCCAAGAGACAAGTATTCTAGTATTACTCTTACGCAATTCACCAGATGGTTCTGTTAAAACCCTTGTACCATCTTTGGTGATATCCTTGATGTAATTCCCATTTTTTTCTTGTCTCTTTATAGCCATGTCTCATTTCCTTAGAGTTACTCTTATGAAATTCCACCCCATGCATACAGATATCAAAGCTATTTCCCTTTACCTTTTTTCTTCTGGGAGCTATTCAGAACGGTCATATTTGTCTTTTAGGGAGTCACATATTTTTACTTGGACCTCTTAGGTGCCGAATTGTATTACAATCTCCTTTAGTTTAGGGGATTTCCAGGGACAGTGTGGAAATGAGTACTGTCTTGAAACAATCTTGAGCACTATCTGTAGTCTCCTGGATTATTAGCACTCATAAACTTGAAATTTGAGTATCGGATTTCATGAGCATGGCAATCTCTGGATTTCTGGGTGCCTTTGCACAAAGTACTTGCTAACAATATAAGTATAATCCGTTCTCTGACTTTTAAAGTATCTGTCCTGTGGCCCAATGCACAGAGAAAGTCTGAGCAGGGTCTTTGCTGTGCTATTTCAGGGGGCAAAAAGTAGTTACAGCCCATCTTGAATGAGCTGCACCTAGTGGGAGGTAGTTGAGCACTGTAAGCAAAGGCTCCACAGCTAGTAGTACCTTTTAAGATGAAGGCAAAATCATAGAGCTCTCTGTCAAAGCAAATTTGGCTTGTTTTACAATGGCTTTAATAAATGATTGATTTTTTCTTTACATTCCTCTTTCATTGTGCTCTTTCATTCATTCCTCTTTTATTCATTCCTCTAGAGTTGAGACCTGTTCAAATGAAAACAGTGAGCTGCGTAAGAAGGTTGAAGTCCTGGAGAATACTAACAGGTAAGGTATGAAGGGAATCAGACAAGAACACAGCAATGTTATTACAGTGAAGCTGGAAAATGTGGAGATTAAGAGATCAACTGAAATGTGAACAATAGCTGTACCTGATGGGCTTAATGCCAGAGAAAGATGAGGAAGGCCATTTGTCATGACTGCAGTGGGATGTAAAGCATGGAGGCTTTGATGTCATGTCTTAAACTGTCTCCCTAGCCTGTGGAGTGCTTGGGAACCTTTTAGTACTCTTCCTAGAGTTCTTCCACTGCCCAACGGAAGAGCTCTAAAGAACCTACTTAGTGACTCAAAACAAACAAAAAGCTGCAGTCGTGCTCTCCCAGTTCTCTTTTATTTAATGAAATTTTGCCAGGAGACCCTGACCTGGAACACGACACTTCCAGGAATTACAGTGCCGAAGCTCAAGAGCCTTTATTAGTCCCCTCTGCACTACTAGTTGTCATTGCAATTATTGTGCACCCTTCTAACCATATCACACCCCAGAGTTTCCTTCATTTGGAGGGAAAAATCACCTTCTTGCTCCTTCATTTCTGAAGAAGTGGGTGACTTGGTGGCTTTCTCAAAGGACACATGGGAGAAAATGTCAAATAGCTGATCTTTTAATTGGATGTTAGCTGAGAGTGCAGTGTCAGTCGTGGCTTATGCTCAGTGTGGCAAATTCCAATGAGTAGGCATTAGATAAACCCACTCTTAACACCTTCTAGTTTAGAGGCATTTGCAGTGATGGTTGAATATTACCAGTGAACATGATGGTGACACTGAAGTGTGGGAGGAGTCTGGGTTTTGAAGATAAGACCCACAATCATGGAAAATGGCCCTAGAGCTTATCTGGCAGCCAATGTGTTGCTAATTGAGTGGCATGTGTTGTTTCTAATCTCTGGATCCAATCTCTACGTTCATGGAGCCAGACCCTGTAGCACTGTAACTTGCTGGAGAGTGTCTCCCACACACTGCTCATGCATAAAGACATCTGCTGCTTGTTTGAAGAGAGCCAAGCCATTTCAGTGCCTCTTGTATCGTCCTCCACAGTTTTACATACAAGAACCTGGAATTGTTCTGTAGGTGTGGAGTAGGGATGTCTCTCCCAGGAGGTGCTGAAGCCAGCTTCTCTAAGGAAAGGTGTAGGTGCAGATTATCCACTTGAGGACAGCATGTTGTGAAGGCTGGAGTTGTTCTCCCCATTTCAGATAAATTCAGCCAGCTGTTTTCATCTCTGAGTTGTTGAGGAAGCACTCATGAGAACAGCTTTGTTGGTATTGTCCATCCTTTTAGAAAGGACCTTTAGCATCTTCTCTCTTATTTATCTTCATTCTTTCTTGCTAAATGCTCTAAAAATATTTAGGTAAGTGATATTATCTGCAGATCCTTCATACTTGTGTCATGTGAGATGAGTTGCATTGTTTCCTGCCCTCTGCAATAGCATTGATATTGATCTGTAATCACTTGCAGAGCAGCAGATGTTCTTCCCTCTGCACAGAAATTCTTGTAATTCATGGCAGTGCTGTTTTGGCTATTTAGATACCAACTGTGTCTAAGATCTGCTAAGGCTTCAAATTGAAATACTGAGAAATTTGTAAAAGTGCCTTCTTTCATCAAGCCTCAGTTTTGTAACATACCATATTAAGGGGTTTTTCATCTTAATCCCACTTTTTTTATTTACTGTATAATTGTGCAACTGTCTCATTCAGAGGTAGCCCTTGTTTAATGCACATTATCCACATCTTACAGTGAATTCAAAGTGTCTCATTTCCTCATGGGTATTTGCACAGAGCCTTGGCATAACATCCAGAGACCTTTCACATGTTTCTTGTCTTCACACAGAACTTGTCTTCACAGCATCCTATAGCTGGTACTTTCATCTCCTGTGCACAGTCACGAGTCAAAGTTCAGAGCAGTGGTGGTCAAAATAATGCCCTGTCAGTTTGTTGTGTCAGAAGCCCAAATTTTTATATTTAGGGCGTTATTTCTCAAAGTACCTAGCACAGTTATGCACACATCTTATTTAATATGCCCAAAGCAGAGCAGTGGCTGACTGTAGTTGTAACTTGTGTTCATTGCAATAAAAAATGAAGAAATTATTGAACACGTTATCTAAAAGTAGATCTACAAACATTTGAGCTGTTTTTTCATTGTGAAAATTTGTAAGAGTGGAAGGAAGATAAAAGGAAAATAAGCACTGTGATTACATGTTAAAATGTTAATGCATTCAAGTATAGATGAAGACAAAGTTGGATTTCTACCTTGTTGGAAAATTGGGCTATAGCTGCTTACCTAAAAGATCATGAACATCTATGTGCTGTCAGTCAGTAACATGTTTGTGTAGTCTGGCTAGTTCTGAGAGGAAATAAAGGGCAATTTCCAAAACATACAACTGTTGAACAGCAGTTGCCTTTCAGTATGTGTAATCTGGTTTTTAGAGCATGTTATTCTATATATAGAACATATTTGCATAGCTATATACCTAAGACTTCAGGGAAACCCTGCTTGCATTTCAAAATCTGGCTCCAAACCATGAAAATACTAAAATCCTTTTCTGATAAAAAAATGTTCCTTCTTAGTAACATGGAAAAATTTAGATGACTCTTCCTTGAAAGCCAGCCTTAGCCTGAAATTCTGGATCTGAAAAGATGTAATGTGAAAGGTCAAAAGAAATGCATCCAGGAGCATCTCCCTTGGCATTCATGCATCTTAAAAGGCAAGGCAGGAGACTGGGGATCAAGATGCAGGAGAGTTTTTTTTAATTCTCATTACTCTGAGTGGGTGACTGCAGCATTTTTGTCAGATTTAGTATTAGAACACTAGCATATGTTACCTCTCCTAGTTTGTGTGACTCAGTCCTTTAAAAGAAACCCATCCAAGTTCCTTCCTAGGCAGTTTTCTCAAAACTAAGGAAGCACATTATTACATGCATATCTGTTGTGTCTTGAAGCCACAAGTGAGCCAAAATCTGATTGTTTTGAGTAGCATCTGGACATGTGGGCACTGCTGTCTCAGAAAGCAAAGGGTGTGAGAAGAAGGTGGCACTGAGAATTGAACTGACTTGTCCCAGTCACCAACAAGGCTTGATCCACTCACATTTTGGCACCAAGACCAAAGGCTGCCAGTGATCAAAAGGGTTGAATACATTCTCTGACACCAGCGTTGTTTAGTGGCTCTTTGGGCTTAAAGACAGTATTGAAACATCTGGTGCTGTGTATACTGTGTTGAGAAGTACCTTTGCTTCCCACTTCTCTTGAGTCTGGTTTGATATATTTATGATGCCTTTTCTTGGAGAAATGATAGACACAGGATGAGGTTGAGAGTGACACACATGGACAATGCATGCAAGTAGCTGCTAGAGTTGCTGCCGTGGAGTAACACAAACCAGCTGTCCAGACCTGCACTCTGACAAGCACCTTTGAAGGCAATGGCTTTATAAATACAAATGGGATGTTCTCCCAGTTTTCATGCTCCTGCCCAAACTGTTGCAGCTCACAGTCATCTGAAGATCAAGTTGAACATCACTCTGACCCACCAAGGTTTTATTGGCACCAAAGCTGCCAGACTTCACTGATTTGCTTGGCTGTCCCTTTATTTGAGGCTGGTAAAGTCGTTTTACCAAATCAGGTTCAAAGAGTGAAGGATCTAGATTTAAGTTGCAATGAGATATCTTGTACTTAATTTCAGACCACCCCTTTGTAGTTGACAAAGCATGGCAGCCCTGGAGCAACTCCTTGTTTTCAAAGCAGTAGGACATTGGTTTTCATGCTGAAACGTCTTTGAGGGAAAATTGCTGGATATTTTCTTTGTAATTCAAATGAAGCAAACTGGTGGATTTAAGTGGCCTTTTGGTGAAAACCTTATTTTGGGACTGTCCTCTTTCCTACAAATAGGAACTTCTGTGTAGAGTTAGAAGAAAGAATAATTTTTCTCTCTCCTTATCAGAATTAGGTTTTGTTACTCACAAAGTAGGAACAATTATCTGAAAACTTTTGGTTAAGATAAAGCGTTTGGTGTCCCCTAGAAAATGTCTTTTTTTTTTTCTTTGAATTGATGTTGGATTTTAAACATAAACACTGAACTGAGGAAGCCTCCCAGGTGGCTGAGTCCTGGAATGACAAATTTTCTCTCCTTAATCACAATGTCACTGGAAGCACATGGGAAGCCTTGACTGGCTCCTTACATTGGTAGTGAAAGGGCCTCTTCTGAAGATGAATATATGTGAATGTGCACAGGAAAATAAGACATCACAGGCAGAGTGAATTTGCTGGCAGTGTGTGGAAGGAAGAGCAGGAGTCTTCAGTCACTTTGCAGCTTTCCTATTAGGTGCTTCCATTGGCAGAGAAAAGTGCGAAAACACGCTCACACCTCCCACGGAGGTGACCCTCTAATTGAATATCCCTGAGAAATGTGTCAGACACAGTGAAAATAATCCCTGTGGGTGCAAACCCCCTTAGCATGCTGCCTTGGGTTTGCATTTTCTCCTGTTAGGACTTAGCCATAGGCAGTGTGTTCCACTAAAAGCATTCGTGGCCTTTCCTCTTCTATTTAGAGGGGGCATCATAGTTTATGATGAGTCCCTGTTCTGCAGAGCAGAAACCTCCTCCTTTTCCCTCTCTTGGTCCAGATCATCCCTGCAGCTGTCCAGTGAAAAGCTTTTGCGTGGGAATCTTTTGGCCTCAGAATCCAGTCTTCCATCATTCCATATTCAAATAGAGAATAAAAGCTCCGAGGAATGCTCTGTTTTGCCAGTGGCAGGATAACCTGGTATCATCTCTGATCAGACTTGGTCCTTGCTTTTGCCTCAGTTCTTGCAGATAGTTTGCAAATGCATGTGTATCCTGCCTGCTCCAAACACTGAGTCCTTGTGTGTTGAGAAGAAGACAGCAGCTCTGCTCAAACAGATAAATGACTTGGGGAAGAAAGGCATTTTATGTGAAGGTAGTTGGTAAATGAGGTGTGGGATGAATCTTCCTCTGTGTATAGGAGACCTCAGAATACCTGCCTAATTATACTTTCCAAAAGGAGACTGCTTTGGAATCAGCTCTCTGGGCCCACTCTGCCCAACAGGTTTTTTTAAATTGAACGCAAAAAGGCAGAGATGAGCAAAATGAGGAGAATTGCCTCTTCTCTGTTGATTTCCTCACCAGCCATTAGCTGTTTTCTCACTGACGCCTCCACAAAAAGTGGCAGGAATGATCAGCATTTCAAGGCTGCTGCTGCTGCCAGCCCCCGAGCTGAGGAGGAGGAGAGCTCCTTCCTCATCATTCTGCAGAGCTGTTCTGTGTCAAGCCCCACGGTTTGAGCCTGAAACAGGGGAAGGATTTAGTCCTCCATAATAGCACAGAAATTTCAGGGTTAAAAGGGCATTGCTGTATAGCATAGCTGGTGGCATGTGGTGGCAATACTGCATGCATCATGTTCTGTGCCAGAAAATGATGTATACTATGCACTCAGGTCTTTGTGAACCCCATGCCATGCAGCAGATGTGAGGGGGAGCTGGGGAGAGATGCAGAAAGGAGCAGGAAATTGGGATGGTCTCATTTACGTGATGGACACTGTTTACATCTCTTTATTTGCCTGTGGTCTCTCTGATAGTGAGTAAAGGATTGAATTAGGTGTATCGCTTTTCTTTTTTAAAGAGTTGCAGGATAAGCCATGCTCTCAAGAGCATGCAAGACATCCTTCCTTAGTAAGTTGAGAAGGACCTGCTGGCCCAGATAAATCTGTGCTGTGAGAATGCCTTGTGCTCATTTCAGAATGTATTCCTGAAGTCCTTGAATTCATTAAACCCTAATTAGCAATGAGCATTGATGATTAAAAAAACCTATGATAATAGGCAGACCAGTGTATATTGAGCTGGGAAGGCACCTCTGGGTCTGTCCTACAATTAGCTTTTAGCCAGTTTGATCTTAAAATAATCCTTCTATTTTCTCTGACATCCTGACCTCGCCTCTTGGTTTAGCATTTGACGTCACAGCTTCCAAAACTGTTGCCTGGAGTTCTGTTGGGGTATCCTCCACAAGAGATTGTGAGACTTAGAGAAGTGAAAAGTAAAGTTGGAAGCAAACAGCAAATTTAACAACTTGATACAAAATTGTATTATGTTTGTGTCGAGGAGAGGCATTTGGTTTGCTCCTTATCTGCTAAAACACTTCAATGAAAACTGCTGTGAAAACCCTACATCAATCGTACTTTGAGATCATTTCCTATTTAAATGAGTAGTATCCTGACTGTAGTAATTGATGCTACAGCACAAAAAGCCAGCCAGAAAGACAGAAGAGTATCCTGACTGGTCTAGGACTGTTGACTCCAGCCACAAGAGAATTGTCATTGTGGTTGGGACCTCTGAAAGACACAGTCAGAGTAGCCACTTGAAGCACCTGCAGTTTTTGTCCGCTCCTGGAGGATTTAGCAAATAGTAATAAAGTGTTTCATTTAATAAATGAATTTGAGAAATGAAGTCTGTGCCTATGTTCGGTTTTAAGACCTTCTCTTTAAAAATCTTGCAGCATGTGGTCCAAACCACTGAACAGGATTTTTGGAAAAATGAGGTACCTCAATCACCAACTAGAGCAGTTATAAACTCACTTCTGCACCTTTAAAAATAATGGCAAAACTCCTCCTGACTTCATGACATATCAGGTTGTATATGCATCTGGTCACTTGTGTGTAGAGCAGTTTCAGTTTTAATGTGATCAATGAAGCCATTTCTTGTAGAAACACTGAAAACACAATTTTTATTTACAAGAGCTTTCTGAAAATACTAAAGAAGTAATTGTTCAGGGACATCAGATGAGGGAAAAACAAAAGATCTTTTTGAAAGTTCCAGCATTAATACATGTAAAAACTTTGTAAAATTAAACCCATTCCTTGCTAGTAATTTTAAGGAGAGGACTTTAATTATCTCTACCTTGTCATAAATGCTGTATTATTGCCAGGTGTGGAATCTGAAACAAAAAGCTGTTTAACCAACAAGAAGGTCAGTGTGTGTGATGCTTGTCTGTTGTCTTTGCTTTCCAGAACCCTTCTGCAGCAGCTGCAGAGACTCCAAGCCATGGTTGCTGGCAAAGTGTCCCGTTCGTGTAAGGCAGCTAGCACACAGACAGGGACCTGTCTTATGGTGAGTGTCCCTAATGCTGGGAATTAGTAAGAGGATGACAACCTCTTTCTACTGCTCAAAGACACATCCCTTGCTCTGCAAAGCCTCTCAATTTTGCAGCTTGGGAAACTCCTTTTCATGATATGACAATTAATTTTGAGGTAGGTGAGACTTGGGAAGACACTAAATTCTGGAGGAGACTGGACCTGTGCTTTTGGTTGAGTACTGCAGTGATGAAGGAAAGAGCACTGCTCCTCCAAGTGACCCACTTTATTATTTACTGCAGTACTGTATGTGAGAAATGGTGTCTAGGGTTGTAAAATGAAAATGAAGGTGACTTCTGATGCTCAGTTCTGTTGATACCGGTAAAAATAAACTTGCTCAACCAAATCAAAATATAACTGAGGCTGTAAATCTACCTGTGCCCTATTTCAGTAATAGTAGTCGTCAAGATAAGAAAATGAGTAGAATGAAACATTTCCCTTTTCCCTACCTACACTCAGCCATCAAGTTCCCTTTATACCTAAAGTGGTATAAATTGATGGAAAGTATTTACAAGGTCTAAGCTGTTCTCCTAATCTGCTAGCCTTGCTGTCACTTTGAAGCAAGACTGGGACAAGCAGAAGTAACCTGTTGGGAAATTCCTGACAGTATCTGTAAAACACACATGGCAGCTTTATCTGCTTTTCAACTTTCTGAGTAAATAAGGCAGCTGGTCAGAATGGTAGCAGACACTGAAAACAAACTCCAGCTTTGAAATGTGCCCTTTAAAACACTGAATTGCTATTGTACATGTGCCTTTGCTAAGAGACTCTGTATGTAGTGATGAAAATGGCCTCAAATGGTTTGTTTTGGTAAAGTGTTAGTTCTGACGTGTGCACATGGGTCAAGACCTGGTGCACTTACCTCTTCTGCATCTTCCCTTTGCCAGATGGTGGTGCTGTGCTTTGCAGTAGTTTTTGGCAGCTTCTCTCAGAGCTATGGGCCATATCCTTCTGCTACGAAGATGGTGTTGCCCAGGCAGCATTCCTCACCAGAGTCCTACACAGATTCCATTGGTAAGTGACAGCTATTCCAGTCTTGCTCCTTGGTTGTACTTTGGCACTTGTTCTCAACCTCTACTTCTAATCCCCTTCTCAAGCACCTCTTACTTTTCTGCTTCTTAACTGGCCATTTTTTTATATATACCTGTGTTTTACAAAGAAGGATAGCTTGGTAACCTATGTTGATGGCATCAGATCTCATAAATATGGGCAAAGCCTTTTCCCCACTAGCTTGCTTGGTGCTTCTGGAACTAAAGCTAGTGATTTGTGAGAGGTAGCGGGGTTTCTACTCGGTAGGAAATGTTCATACTGTTAAAATGCAACAACTGATATCAGTTGGTGTTTCCTCTGCCAGTGTCAGAAAAGACACCAAGGACTGAGTTGGAAACTGTTAGTATTATATACCTATAATGAACCAGTGTATTATCAGAGTGATTATTTAATTTTGTTCTTGTTTTGTGAATAATTTAGAGCTTTTTGATCCTTATCTGGACCGATTCCTGTGGTTTCTTTGTTCAGCTATCAAACTGCCAGTTAACCACTATGGAAAGAAAAGCTCTTTGCAGCTTTAGCTCTGCTCTGACAGTTTCCATTTCCTGAAATAACCAGGGCTATTCTCTGACCTGCCTGTTTCTCATGTCTTTTTGCCTTCTCTCTTTGTATGTAGTGAGGTCAAGGAGTCTGCTAATCTATGAAGAGTCTCACCAACTGGAGGAGTCGTCAAGCCCGATCTCCTTTGCAGATCGCAGTGACAGGCAAACAGACACCTCCAAGTACACAACGCTGTCCCTGGAAGCCGTGTCAGGGACACAGCAGGATGACATCATGCAGTTCACAATAGCCAATGAGACAAGGCTAGAGAAATCAGTGCTGCTGGGCCTGCAGCAGCACAGGTGAGTGCAGGGTGGGCTGCTTGTCATACCAATGTTCTGCCATTGTGCCTGCAGGCCAGAAGTAAGACTAGCGGCTCAGCTGTGCTGGGCACCTTAAAGCATGAACTAAGAGTTTGGGTTTTATTTGGAGAGCCTGTAGGCAAAGCCATCGTTACTCTGGAGAAGTGTTTGCAACAGTGTTGTCGTAATACAGCTACTGAACTCTCTGCTTCTGCCAGAAACCTAAACCCCGTAAGCCTGTTAGTTCTGCCTACCCACTTCTTTGAGCACTTACTTGTGTGTCTCCTAAAGGAATAAGCTTTTACCAGTTGTGTGGAAGTGTGAAGTTGTGACTCACTGGGCTTTCTATGAGGTTAGGGTGTGAAGAGCTGGAGCTTCTCACAACAGTAATCTTACTGAAGCATTACTGTGGGAAGTTTCCAGGACTCAGTCTTAAGAGACTGACATGTAAATTTATCGGACTGCTTAAGTTCCTACACTTAGTTCCTTTTTTTTTTTTTTTAAACTTAAATCTAAGTTTTTGGGCCTCTGCAAAGAGAGAGATTTACTGATTTAAAGATGTATATGCAGTTTTCTTTCCACTGCACTTTTTCTTGTCCTACCACTGTCCTGTTGGCCTGGGTCTTGGCCTCTGCTAACGAGCAGTTGCAAGCCCACCAAACAGTGGAGAGAGGGATTTTGTTTGGCAGCATGCTGTTCTGAGGGCTAGGGTGGGCCATATCACCCCAAACATGTCTTCTGAGCACTTGTGTCAAAGTTATGCCTAGAGCCCAAGAGATGACTAATTCAGTGTGTTACCAGACTCCAGCTGACAAGTCACCTGGTGAATACTGATTGTCTTTTTAGCATTAGCTCATTTGAGCAAGATATGCACTTCTAAAAATGACTGTTAATGTTAACCTTTGTTATTTTGGTATTTTTGTTCCCTACAGAGTCAACTCTGAACTAGAAAGAAATGAAACACTGAAGATAATTGAAATAGATAGAAGAGTCAATGCCACCTCTTAAAAATAAAAACGCCTTTTTTCTTGACTTCCCTCTTTCCCACATATTTTCAACCAAAGTTCCCCTGACTTGTCATCCTCAGTGAACCAAAGTACAAAAGAGAGGGAGTTCAACTTCTGCATTGACTGGTGAGGCTGTGACTACAGATGGGATCTCTTGTCTTTGTAACTCCCTTCCTCACTTCGCACACAGTCCCTGTCTTTACTTTTATTCCTTTCCTGTCTAATACTGCAAGGGCAGGATTGAATTATGATGGCAGATGATGCCAGCAGCGTGCCAGTGACTGGTGGGTGTGTGTGCCACATGCACACAGCCTGGTCTGAGCACAAAGGCATTCTGTGGAAGAGTGAAATGTGCAAAACCAACAGGAGCATGTGGGTGATAGTTTTCTTGGGAGAAGGTAACTGAGGGAGAGGGAGGAGATGATGGTGCTCAGAATCTAATCACAGCTCTGCGCCTGCTGGTCTACAGCACTTGAGCCTTTTGTGGGGATTGGGAAGCATGTGTTTAGCCTGCTTCTGAAGGGACAGGAAAGGACCCTGAGACTGCTGAGCTCAGAGCACAGGCAGGAGAGGGGTGGGCAATGATGCTGCTGAATTGTCCTCCCCTAGGTCTTTCTCTTCTCCTTTATTATTTAGTGGGGTAGGTTTCTCTGTGTGTTGAAAGCAGTTCTGGTGGGCTTCCCTGCTTCCATCCACCCTTGAGAAATTAAGCAAAGATCAGTCACTGTCTTGTCACACTTTGTGTGGGAGAATTACACTAGTTTAACTAAATCTGTTTAGAAAGCAGGTTTTGTTAAATTTATACAATGTTTTAGATGGATGCCCTTTAGTTTGCTTAAGGCTAATCTATTTAGCTTGTATCAGTTCCTTCCCAACAAACTGAATCAATGTAAGGCTTAAACCAGAAGTGCCTCCCGAGAGGATGATATGGATTTAATTTATTGGCTTCTAGATGCATTGAAGGAATTTCTTGTGTAGACCCAGTCTCAGATTGTCTTGTGTTTTCCTTTCCTTGCCATCTTTCCGTTACTGTTGTAAATAGTATTTATTAGCTTTGCAAAATCTTGCTCAGGCAGTTGCAGTGAAGAGAATTGAGCTTCCCTTAACCCTGCAGGTGATCTGAGCAAACTCTAAAATCTAACACAGAAATATTACTGAATACCCATTCCCTCCCCTTAAACTTGAATTGTTCTAAAATAAAGCCATGTAGCTTATTTTCCTCTTACCTCCTTTTCCAGAGATGTGATCTTTTAGACCAACTGCTTTGTTGAAAAGACAGGAGTATAGGTAAACCCCAGCTAGGCACAGGTCAGGCCTAGAGGTGGTAGCTACTGTATTAGCTGTTTGGCAAGGCAGCCTCTGACCTGAGGAGTTGATTATGCAGGCAGGAGACCTGTGAAAAGAGGGATGAGATGAGCACATAGGGAGATGAAGTGACTGGCCCAAATCCAGTGAAAAAGGCAAGAGCAGTCTTCAGGTCTGATCCTGGTCCAGTACTCTTCTCCCTGCTTTGTTTCCTCCTTGTCCCATGTCATTGTCTTTTAAGTGTCCTCTCTCTTTCAGTACCCTGGTCATGCCTTTGCTGGAGCTGTGCTTCTTGCACTTTGTCCTTGCAGTGGCATAGTTGAACTTACACTAGGATTTGAGCAGGGTTTTATCTGGTTCCTACAGAAGGGCACTCAGGCTCCACTGAGATGGATTTAGTGTGAAAATCCCAATTCAGCAGGCTAGCATAGCTACTTTACAGTTTACCAGAAGAAGTCAATTAAAAAAAAAAAAAATTGAAGCTCTTTTTTCTTTTATTTTTTTCCTAATGATAAATAAGGGAAAAACTAACCTAGCCTTACAAGTAATTTTTTACTATGTACAGTAGATATTTCCTGCAAGTATTCTATTTTGTAATATACTGGATTTGTATTTTAATACAGCAACTATCACACCAGCTCCTTTCTTGTTCTTTGTTCTCCTCCTTCCCTATTTGCCATCCTCAGGCCTGACTCAAAGCTCAGAGAAATGAATGGAAAGTATTTGGCAAATTAGAGGGGACTGTGGATCGGTTCCCACTGTGCCATTTTAAGAAGGTGTTTCAGATTAGTGACAGTGAAACATATGCCTGACTCCATGAGCTAGTAATGAGTTTTGGTACAGATGTGCTTTTTAGGTAATGCCCTATTCTTCTATGCAAGTACCTTTTTATTATTTTACCTGAGGTGGCAATGAAAGGGGAAATGCTGTTGTAGTTTGTGTTGTAACTTCTTGGCATGGGTCAATCTCTACCCTAAAGTCTGTTTCCCTTCACAGTGATCCTCCTGGATCCTCTGAATCATTCCATTATCTGTCAACAACTTTTGTATGATTTTTTTTTTTCTTTTTGAATGGTTTAAGGCCTCACATAAACGGTGACCACTGTTGGGTGTCACAAGGGATGGCTGCATTGCTCAGCCACTTGAGGTCAGCAAAGTGGCAGGAGAAAGCTGGGACTGACCCTTCCATTACTTTATGGCTGGTCAGCATAAGTGGGCAACATCATAGTTTAGAAAATTCCTTATATGGTAGTGGTTTGCCATTTCTGAGGGCAACTGAGTAGTTAAATGTTCTGCAAAAGAGGGTCCAAGCTATGAAGTGCAACACCACTGATTAGTCCTGCAGTTTGTACTGTGCATATAAGCAGGAGGCCTCTCTGCCTGAGCTCATGCCTGTGACCAGTTAAATGGATCACCTCCCAGTGCAGATACAGCTGACTTCACTGTCTTAAAACCAAAATGGAATTATTTCTCAATACTCACAGGACAGATGATTTTGCACCACCAAAACAGCCCCTCCTCTCCAAAATGTACTGCACTTGCCACCATTAAAACTTTGCCCTATTTGTTTGCATAATTTGGGAATGTCAGTTCAGATCTGGTTGAGAGATAGTCATGTTTTCATCCAGAGCATTTTAAACAGCCACAGTCTGGGTCAGGCCTCAGTACTAACTCATCCAAGCCCGTATGGCCATTCTGATTTCCTTGCAACTGTTTGATAATCTATTTCTATAATCCTAATTTGTGTAATCCTTTAAGTTATTTTTAGGTATTCTTTTGGGCAATCTCTTCACCTAGCACACACATTGCTTGGGGATTTATTGTATTACATGTTACTCCTTTATAATAAGGAAAACCTTTACTTTACTTGGGTATGTTTGTGATCATTTCTCTTCAGGGGCCTTAATAGAACAGGTTTCTCTGCTAGATACTGGGGGCCAAGGAATCCTCTGTCATCACCTCCTCACAGGCTGTTGAACAGCAAGGACTTCACTGTCTCCAGAGGTAGTTTGTGCCCATATTATGTACCTAGCAGGGGGATGGGAGAGACAGGACAGTGCCATTGCACTGCCAGCCTCAGCAGCCCAGGGGTGACCCCAGTGTGAATGTTGATGCACTGCACACCACGTGCAGAGGAAGCTTATGTGCTCTGTGCTAAGGGCATAAGGAAGGAGTACTAAAGTGTACTCAGGGAGGATGCCAGCGTAAGTGCTTTTAATTAGCTCAGCTCTATTACTTGAGGTCTTAGCCTTCTGCCAGTGTGCTTTTTCCAGTGATCAGTGACTTGGTGCTGTAGGATAATGTGTGTGTATGGATGTGGTAAGCAAAGGCCTTACATGCAACTTAATTTCCATTTCCAGCAGAGGACTTGAGTGATACTTGGAGTCCTCAGGTGTCACATTATGCTGTTTGTCAGCACAGTTTAACACACACTAGTAAACTTACCTTTTGGCCTGTAGCTTTAAAGCATGTCTGGATCTGTTGGGTCTTTGCTTCTAGAGAGATAAGCTATGAATGAAAGTAGGGCATTATTTTTTTATATATATATATATTTTAAAACTATCAAGCACAGGGCATGTGCTGTTTCTAACCTTGTTACTAGTGTGTAGATAATATTGTTTTTTTCCCTGGGCTATTTATAGTTCTTTGCTGCATTTCTGTCATTGGTACCATTCAATATTTTTCAGCAGCACAGACTTATGGATTAGACTGAGGTTCTTAGGCCAGATCCCACCTGATACAACGCAGCGCACCTCTCACATACTGCTCTTGGGGGCTGAAGGTCTGATTTATACTGACAGGGGACCTCTTCCATAGCTCTCTGTATAACAGAGAGATCTCGATGTATTCTTGATTTTTCTAACATAGACTAAAAATTAATCTAAAACCTCTTTTTTTTCATGCTAAAGAAACCAACCCACCTCTCTGCTCCCATCCCCCCAAACTATCAGTGGTAAATTCTGTCTAGACACATTTAAAATGTAGGTCAAGTAAAAGAATGATACTAATTGCTACGTTGGGAGGGATTTCCACTGAGTATTTGGGCTCTAGATTCTAGCTAGTGCCAAGAGGCCATTGTACTAAACCCACGCAGTTGAGAACAGAGGAATATGGAGTATTTTTATACTCTTGGTGACTAAAATATTTCTTTCTCGAGTCACTAATTAAAAAGGGAACATTTTGTATTCTGAAGGTGAAATGATAGGTCAGAACTTGGTAGCTACAAAAGTTATACTAGCCTGTATAAGTAGTGTAGTGCTGTGATGTGTTTGCACTATATAGTGTTAAGGATTAACAACTTTGGGGCTTGCAAAGATGAATGAATTGACTTACGTGTTAAGTAAGGTCTTTACAAATAAGATGTAAGGATTCAATCAATACTGTAGCTTTCTCATGGCCAATAAAATGACATTGGGCATTCAGAGGTATGTTGAGGGTGTGATCCCAAGATCCACATTGCTTGGGTGATCAGCATCCACTGGAGACTCCTGTATTGAGAGGGAAATTGCAATTTTTTTTGTCATTTTTATGTCAGGCCTTTTTCTGCTTTACCAAGGTGTGTATGTATATATATATATATATACGAATTTAATTGCTGTGTAGAAAAGCATGCATCTTGCAGGAACCTCTGTGATGCTGAAATGGAGTTTGGATATTCTTTATTAGCAGTAGTCTCTTGTCTACCCTAAAACTGATCTCCATACTCTTTCTCCAAGAGCTTCAACCGCATAGCTGAGAACTGAACATGGGAAAGCTGGATTTGTAGACCTGTCTTACAGAAAGGGTGAAAGAAAGGGCAAGTGAAGGGACCTGACATCACGGGGAAACCTAGTTCTTGATTCCAAAAACCAGCAATGATAGCCTCTGTCAGTAGTTCCCTGCTAGGTTTAGATTTACTCCTATTCCCCTTGCTCTTTAATATTATGCAGTCCTGTTTATGCATATCTGACCTTTATGTTATATGTCACTTTCCCCTCCAAACAGCAGGTAAAAATCTTTCTGAACTTTAGCAGTCCATAATGAAGGGAGTGGAAGAGAGAGGGGGGGAAGCAGAAACAGGTAATCATTTTCTTTTAACAGAACTCAGCTCATATCTGACTTTGCCATACCAGATTTTAATTCAACGGTGCTGATGTAACGGCGTCTTGCTTTCTTCTTTTGTACAGTTAGCACGAATGAGTGTGAGCGTGTGTGTGTCTGTGCAGATGTGCACGGTGAATAATTAAATCAACAACACAGAGTTGTTTCCTTAGTGTAATAAGTGTCACTAAATAAAGGCATCTACCTGAACACACAGGGCGCACTCGGCTTGGTGCAGCAGGAAGTCCAGGCCTTCCTCTCTGAAACCTGTTCACATTCCACATCACTGAGCACTCGTAAAACTATTGTGTGAATTGCTGTCTGAAGACTGTGCTGTGATTAATTGTCGACTGAATGTTGTTGTACTGTGTCATTTTGTGTGTATGCATAGACTGCCTGGCCTTTCTGTAGGACAGCTCTGGCTTGGTTCAAAATATAATTGCTTTATGCTTTATTGTATATTCTGGTATAATTTTTGTTCTGCATAGCTATGGCTTTGAATCTTTTTGTTTTTAAATGATGTAAGTTAGCCTTAAAAGGTGGCCTCTGGGAGCTGATTGCTCAAGGAACACAGTTGCTTGAGCTGGCCTTGTGGGAGAGGACCTAAAGATCCCCCCTTCCCTGGGAGCGCTACTGCCCTGACCGCCCCGTGGGCACAGTGTGGGGAAGCAGTTTGCTCTCAGAGGACCGTGTTGTGACACAGATACATCACAGTTTTTCTGAGATTTGCTAGGCCTTCCAAGGGTAAATTACCTGGTGTTACTCTCAGGAAGAGAAATACATATCCAGGGCCAAATCAATTGCCTTGGGTCATGCAAAGCAGCACCTTGTGACTGAGTCACTCTGCTGTGACACACCTAAGGCACTTAAGCTGATCTTTCCCTTTCCCTCTGTTCATGAGAATGCAGTATGGGTTTGTGCAAACATTTAAAACTATCTGAGATGACATGGACAGTGATACTAGTGCAAAAGCATGCCCTCCAAAACTCCTTGGTAAACTTCATTGGGGCCTCTTCTGACTGCAGATGTCTCTATTCTCTTGCCATATCTATTTAACTCTGTGTCTGTGTGTTCAGTGGCCCCTATTTTTGTACAAGTGCTGTCATCTGGATGCGATCCCACCTGATTGTTAACACTGCAAACATGTCATTGGGTGGAAAGAAATTGCTGGTTTTCCTTTTTAAATCATCTGCCTGATTCTACGAGAGAACAGACTACCTGCTTTTGTAGCCTAAATATGTATGTAGCAAAGTATGTTATGCTTTTCATTTCTTGCAAATAAATATTTTCTGTAGAAAAAGCAAGTACAACTTGTTTGATTTCCTCCTGATTGTTGGAAAAGGTCTGGGCCCTTGGCTTTCCCAGGTGTGGCGCTGCATGCAATGTGTCCATCTTCAACACGGCAGAACCCCAGTAATTTAGCAGGGTGCTAGAAAGTTAGATGTGGTTTTTTACTGAAGCTGGCTGCCCCTTCCCTTTTTGAGATTAGCAGAGAATTATGTCTGTCAATTATGTGGAAATTAGGTGCAGGCTGATGGCATTTAATAATGATAATGGCACTTCAGTGCAACTATGCAATACAACCCCATTAATATTAAATATCCTTAAAGGTGGGATCTAGGAAGGCTGATGTTCAAGGGGGCACTTGCTTCAGCCAGTGATACCAGTCTGCTAGGGCATGCTGGAGCTCGAGTCGTATGGGCCAAATGGCCCTCTGGAAGGTAAGGCCTTTCCTTGCACTGTCTTTACACTGGATTTGCTCAAACTGAAGTGAACTCTTAAGAGAGCTCTTTCTGCTTTGGCTTTTAGGGATTGGGTCCTCTCTTGGCCTCGGGTCCTTCCCTTACCCTGACTCATCCCTGAGGTAGCTCAGGAGCTTTCTCTAGCAATGCAGAAGGTGTTCTGCCTGTGTGAGCACTCAACCTTATGCCCAGCAGCCCAGGAACAGTATCCAGCCAGGGGACAGAGGTGGACCTCTACTACTTTGGGCAGACATGGAAAAGAAAATACCTAATTTCTTCCAGTCTGGGGACTCTGTGGCTTTGCTGGCCACCCGGGGAACTTGACGATAGACGGCCTAGTACAGATGTGACAACTCTCCCCTGTGCAGAGCTGGCATCAGAAATGGTGTGGTAATTTGTTCTACGCCAGTTTTCTACTAGGAAAGAGACCTCGTATATGAACACCATGCATCCGTGCAGCAGCAACCAAGAATTTATCCTCTGCAGGAAATATTAGTGATGGAAATAATAGTTCCAGCTTTACTGAAAGTGAAAATGGGAGCGTGACAGATGGCTTTGATGCCTCCATTTCAAGGCCTCTTAAAGAAGACTGCTTTAGAGGTTGGAGAAGGCAGCGTACCATGAAAATTGGAACATTGTGGCCTGCACTACATTTGTGGCTAATGCAGATTTTCGGAAATGGCTTGGTTTGGGGCTAAAAAAGTCGAAGTAGCAAAAGAAATTGGCAGTGGAGGAAAAAAAAAAAGCTCCTCCAAAGCTCTACCGTGGGTGCCTCTTGCTTTCTGAACAGGCAATTTCACTTACCAGAACTATTGATCCAGGGTACTTGTTAGCAGCATCAAGCCATATATAGCATTTTTAGAGGAAAATCTTTAGACTGTGACTGATTAGGAAAGTTACCCTCAGCTTAGTCTTAGCTGAGCTCAGTTCCTGCAAGCATACAAAACATGGACCAGTGATTAACGATTGGTTAAGAATCTCCTTGGATCTCAGTATTACCCTTAAATCATCACACAGCAGGTGATGCTGCAGGGAGTCTGTGATTAAAAAAGAAACCCACATACAATGAAGAAATGCTGGGTGATGAGCTGTCAGCCTCGCTACCTATCAGCCTCCGGTACATGCTGTTCTCTGAAAAGCATGTTACTGCTTGAAGTCAAGGCTGAATTTTGATACTCCTTTCTCAGGCTGATTCCCCTTGCAGGGCAGGTAATACCGCTTGTGATGCCTCTCATGGCATGGTTGAGTGGTAAGTCTTCTCCCTTTGCTATTAGCTATTGCTTGTACCTGTTTTACAACAAGCACAGTCTTCACTCTTCTTGAAGGTATTTCATGAAAGAGTCATTGCTGGTGCTTTCTTTCCTGGTTTGTTTGCTGTGGGATTTTTTAGAAACACAAACCTCATGCTTGTGGCATGCTGGTGAATTTGGCTTACCCTTCTCCATGTTTCAGACTCCTGATCTGCAAAGCCAGTGGTAGCTTCCTCCTCTCTATAAAGTACATTGAGATTAAGCAAAGCAAGATGATCCAAAGGAGCTAATGGTTGGAAACAAAAGCATTTTTCTTTTCTAGTTAATAAATAATGCTAGTGTGTCTTGTCTCCCTCCAGTTTGTGCTTCAAAAAGTTGAAGTTATTTATTTGATTTCTCATTTTCTTGGTGGTGTCCCTCTGTGGGCTTCGAACGGTCTGCAGGAATGACTTCTTTGACTTTTTATTATTCTACTCACATAGAATTGTATCTACATGAGATCTATACATTGCTATAGAATTACTACTTTGTGTATCTCCAGTAAGGAGGAATTTACAAGTTCTGGCCCCTATCTTTGCTGTGGTACCACTGAGGGAAGATAATCACTGTAGAGCAAGTCCATGACTGTTGGGTTGTCTCACTTCCACTGTCTAAAGAAATGCTTAGGTTCTGGTTGTCCCTCTTTTTTAAACTTCTGTAATGAAAACCTGGGTTTGATCCATGCTATCCGTGAAGGGGCAGCACCCAGGCACTTCCACGCAAGTGACACTTTGTGTCATCTCCACGAACACCTTGGCACTGGGTACCAGGGAATGCTTCTGGCTATGGCAGCCTTCAGGGAGAAAGGGGAGCAGTGCTGAAAAATAACTGGAAAATGGTAAAAATAAACAGAATGTACCAGAGAGCAGTAACTTGACAAAGAGCTAATTGTTGTTGCAGGGTGAAGCAGCTCTGCCCAACAGGGCGATCTGCTGAGCTGAGCTGGGTCCCTGCACATTGAGCCTCAGCATCCCTCAGTTACCCAATGGATAAGCAGTGCTCTACTGGAACTTCAGGTGCTGTGAATGTTTTTGTGGGGTATCTATCAGCACTGGATGTGGAAAGGGAAGCTGGCTGCTTGTTCAGTCACGTTTAAAAACAGAATAAAACTTTGAGGGGATGCAAACATTTATGTACACATATGTATAAATATATTTTGTATGTTTTCCTGAAGGTTGAATGCTGAAGGTTTTCCTGAGGATGAATTTTGCATTATCTTATGGAATATGGAATGTTTACTGACTTCTCACTGGGTAGCCTGGCACAGTGAACAAGTAAGGTTGCCCCACCCTTTTCTTCCCCAATGCCCTTTTTCATATATCCACCTCTTTTCTATTAGGAAAAAGATTTTCAGTCCCTCCCACTCTGAATAAAACTTAGCGCAGTGCACACAGTCTGTGCACACTGGAGTGTTCAAAATGGGATTTAACAGGCATGTGAGTAATGGAATAAACCTCCTTCCCCTGGCTTTACTCCAAAAGGCTGAAATCCTCCTTTCGCTGCATTTCCTCTTTCATTCCCACCGTCTGCCCTATTCTAGATGGAATTCTAATCCAGGCTATTCAAAGCATGCAGTGTGGTGAGAAGTTTCCACCCAGGAAAAAGAGCTCCCCACCTGCTGAGCCTCGTCAGCCCTCCCACTTAAGCTGGGGAGTCACCGCAGAGCGATGCGAGGTGCTCCTCTTAACCTGACAGTGCTTAAACAGATGGGAACTCAGACATGGGAATTCAGGTTTTTGCTAGCGTGATGATCCCAGATACCAGCAAAACCTGCTAAAAATCTATTTTTGTGTTCATCCTTTCCCTCCTGATCCAGCAGTATGTCTGCAGCCATGTCTTGGAGCAAACGTGATGCTCTTCCAAAGCTTCTGCTGTTGCTGCCTTGCTCTGACCACAGGGATTGACAGCTACGCCCCAGGTGTAATTGTGTAAGCAGGGCTTTCCTTCACGAGCCTCAGATTGTCTCATAATTGCTCATATTCAGAAAAAGGCATAGGAAGTCAGTTTAGCACTTCACGTTGCAAATGAGTCATGCAAGTTGCAGCAGTCGGAGGAAAAACAGGTAATCCCAGAGCAGAGTGTAAATTTGGTCATGCAGGCAAAACGGTTATTGACAAGCAGGAGTCACAGGAGGCTTATGCTGGAGGAGGAGGTGGCTCAGTGGCTTGGAGAGGGGGCAGGAAATTCTGATTAGTTGTTAGGCTTTGCTCCAGATGCTCTGTGGGAGGTGGAGCGATTAGCTGGGGCACAGGCCACAGAGTTGTTCTTATGTGGACCAAAGGCCAAGACAATAAAGCTGTGAGATGATACATAGTGTTCTGCTCACCGAGTGCAAAATTAATTTGCAGTTAAAGGGGTTTTTTGCACATCGTCGGCATCTTCTCATAGTGTTGGTTTTCATCAAAGACAGAACCTTAAAGATACTGTTGATGAGAGAGAGGCTTAGGGTGCTGCTCCTCATCCTTGAAGCTGGCTGTCGGGCTGGCTCTGAACTGGCCTTTGACAGTACCTACCCAAAATGGATTACTTCTGTACTGCAAAAGGTGTTCTTAAATTGAATGCTTTCACAAGCAACACTGTCTGCTGATTTCCCTGGAAGTTAAACTGGAGACTTTACAAATGAGAGCCCAATCCACAGAAAAGGCTTTGGTAGAGCTCCATGGTGGTATGTAAATCTCTCTGCACACAGTTCAGAGCAAGATCCAGACCTTCCTTTTACAATTCTGAATAAGAACTTTAGTTTTGCTTCTAATAAGTCAGGTATTACATTGCTTAATTATGTTTTAGTCTGTGTGCTTTACTAGTAACTAAAAATACTCTGAGATTTGGAGGAGAAAATTTATATCCCAATTGGAGGAAGCACGTGTGCATGTAGGGAATGTATGCATTGGTTATGCATATGGGTAGAATATACCCTTGAAAGTTGGTTCAACTATTAAATACTCATACTGTAGTAAAAAGATCCACTTTTCATGACCCTTCCCTACTGCCAACAAGAGACAGAAAGTTGTCAATTGGCTGGCATGGAGAGCCTGTCAGTGCTGAAACTGAGGTGAAAAATGTGTATACAGCATGTGCTACACGTGGAGAAGCTGAATGTTTACATGGGAGAAGGAGCAAGGATCAAATGTAAAAAACTTATTGACTGTCATAAACCAGGTTGATGCTCAAGATTTTGGAACATTTGCATGCTGGTGCATATGGGCATGTGGTGCATATGGTGTTCATCATGGCAACGGTTGTGCTGTGGCACAGAGATCACAAAGAATGGGT